TGCTCTGGGATGGCCAAAAGGTGGGAAACAAGTGGGCTGAAGGGGGGAAGGGCAGGATGGTGCAGCCCAGGACACATTAATTAATAACCTTATAGTTTCCTGTAAGGAGGGGCAATTCCTCGGACAGGTTACCTTAACAACAGGTTGGGGCAGGGGCATGTTCTTGATAAGGGTGGAGAAAGGGCTCTGAAGGAATTAACAATTTAATCCCACCGGGGATAGTCTGCATTTCCCGAGACTCACTCAAAATTGGTTTGATTCAATCTGACCTGACTCTACTCACTCAAAATGGCATGACTCAATCTGACCTGACTCTATTTACTTATCTGTACTGACTGCCTGTCTAATTCTGGCTTCGATGTTATACAGCAAGAAAGCCCTTGCCAGATATGGGCCCTCATTCTTGGACATCCTGGCCTCCAGAACTGTAAGAAAGAAAACTCTGTTCTTTATAAATTACCCAGTTTATGGCATTCTGTTATAACAACACAAAACTAAGACTTCCTGGAGAAATAAATGATTCCATCTGAAATGCTACCATAACTCCTGTTCTTATTTTGTTCCATGGTGTTCCATCTTTGAAAATAGTGATGGTTGAGGGGACATAGCTGATCAGTGGTGAGAGAGCTGACCAGTATGATGTTGGTAGTGGAAATTGATAGGTTCATATCTCAAGGGCTGTAGTTTAGCTCCTTAAGAAAGCTTACATTTTAGGAAGTCTTTTGAGGGTTTGTTTTTTGTAGTCCCTAACTTTATCTTTTGAATAAGTGTATCTGGTATTATAAGTGTCCTTTATGACATCAGTGGGCAACTGGATTTTTCATCTGAAGAGAGCGCTCTATAGTCTTCTGTTTCCATGGTCACAGAATTCTAGGAGATTGTGTTCTTTTAATTTTCCCAGGAGATTCAGTGTTTCTAGAAAGAAAACATTTATCACTCTAAGACCTATTTCTGGTCTACAGATGCTATCTAAGAACCAGTACCTTGATACTTTTAAAATAGTATTTCCAAATGTAATATAAAGATCACCTACATCAAAGTTCTTTAGGATGCTTCCCAAATTCGGAGGTAGAAACTCCACATCTTCTCAACTAGAAATTTTGTGAACAGGGTTCAGAAATCTGAAATGTTAACATGTACCAAGGCTTGAAAATTATTGTCTGAAAAAAGAATTTCAGTTTTCCTCAGTAGTTTTTCAAATGAATCCTCAACACTAGTTGGTGTTATATCATTTGTTCTCTACATATAATAAAGAATTTGATATCATTCACAGTTTCAACACTTTTTAAAGAGATGGCTTCCTAACCTCCAAGATTAATTCTGAGGTGGGGTGAGAGGAAGAGACCTCTTGTTTATAGGGCAGCTGCTATGTTTCTATGTTCTGGGTAACTTTAAGATTTATCTGAATTTATCCTTTCCACAGTTTTGTAAACTGGGAATTACTAGTCCTTCTAGACCAACTTGGAGAAATCACAGAGGTGTTTTTAGTTTTAGTTTTAAATTTATTATGGAAATATCTAAGTACTATATATAAAAAGTATGCAAAAGAGTGAAATGAACTCCCATGCACTATCAGCTACCTTCAATTCTCAACTTATGGTCAATGTTATCATATTTGTACTACCCATGCCCATTTCCACTCACCTTCATATTATTTTTTCTTTGTGTTAATTTGAAGTATATTCCAAACAATTTTGCCTGCGGGGAGGGATAATAGAAATTGTGATCTATAGGCAGTCCAAAGCTTAGGTTACAATTTGGCACTGTCAACTGGACCCTGAGGTAGGAGGCAGTCTTGTGAGCCTGAGCCCTTAACCTTCAGGATTTGACACTATCTTGCTATAGATAGTGAAGCAAGAAGTAGACAGGCAGTCAATGTAGACATGTAATTGTGTAGGATCATAAAGATGGAGGCCGGTTTGGGTTTGGGAAGTTGAAGGCTGCCTCTGGGGAACTGAAAGGTTAATGCCCCCAGAGCCCTTCTTCTTCTTCCACCCTTACCAAGACAACCTGCTTCTGCTCCAAACTGTTGCTAAGGTAACCTGTCCCAGGAATTGTCCCTCCCTGTAGGGAACTGTAAAAGTTGTTAATTAATGCCTCCTGGGCTGCTACCTGCCTGGATCACTCCATATGGCCCTTCTCCTTCCCCCTGCCTACCTGCTTCTCACCTTTTGGCCACCCCACTGGTCTCTCCTGGGCCTAGTCAAGAACACTGGAAGAAGAGAGATTAAGGGGGAAGAGGACAGGAGAACAAAGGAAACCTAAAGTGTATAAAAGGGGCAGGATGCTCTCACTTCTTGGGATTCCAGGACACTAGCTGTGGCCCCTTCTCCCTCCCAGGAGAATTCTATTGCTATTTTTTTTTAATAATATGTACTTTCTACACTTGCCTCAGCACCCTTCTCTAAATTAAACATTTGAGGAAGCAGAACTGACAACCGGTGGTATCAATAGTGTTATATTGATATGCAGTTGGTGTCCACCTGAGAATTATTTGCTGTGGAGTGAAATACTCCTATAACATATCTGGTCATAGAAGTGTTCTCTCTTGTGAGTCTGAGAGTAGAAAGAAAAAAAATAAGTCCTTTTACAAACTCTTTCTGTAGATCTCAGCTCTCCGTTTTTTTGTTTTTTTTTTTTTTTTTTTTTTGGTTTTGCAAGGAATATTTCCTAGCTAGCCTATTGTTGTAACACTGTCCATCATGCACTTCAAGGCACTTATTATTTATCTGACATATTATTTCCTGGCTCTCTCTTCCAATAGAATATAAACTCATACAACCTTCCATAGTTTGTTCATCATTATCTAGAAGCATACATGGCACATGGTGAAATCTCAAATAACAAATTTTCTTTTTAAGGTAGTAATGTTTACACTACAAAATCAAAATATGACTTTTCTCTTTCAGCAACAGCCACTATTGACTATACCCTCTTTCTCTCAACTCCTATATCACTACTCTCCTATTGTTTTTTCCTTCTTTACCAGAGGTCACTTTTCAGATTTTTTTATGGGATCTTTTACTGAAGGTTCAAACATTAATATTCCCATAGTTTGATCCTGAGCCTCCTTCTTTGCCATATCTAAATTAACTTCCTATAGTACATCTCTCTTCCCATGGCATTAAATATCATCTTCATTTTTATAACCTAACTGCCAAAGATGATGTTAAACCATGACGCAAAGAAAAGACCACCGACTCCAATTTAAATCAAATTAAAGCAAGCTTATAATTGTGTACACTGGTCAGGACTGTCTCTCTTGAAAACCCTGGGCTAGATAACAGTTCCCAGCTCTCTAGGAGCATAGTTTTATAGCACAAAAAGTTGCAAAGGGGCATGTCTTGAGAACTTACAGATAACAGGATTTTCACAAGCATAATACGAAGGTAGATACTAGGTTAATGATCTACATAGCTTAACATTTCAAGGTAGGGAGTAAATTTAGATCCCAACAACAGAATTTATGAGGCACTACTGAGGTTTCAAAGATGGTTGTTATCTGGTCAGGGAGAGCCAGGATTTATGAGGTGCCACTAAGGTTTTAGAGAGGGTTGTTATTTGGTCAGGGAAAGCCAGGCATGGGTGAGTTCAAGGCAAGGGCAGGAATTCCAAACAAGTTTAGAAATCGAGGTAATTTATAATAAAACGGAAATTAACTTTTCATGACTTTGTGAAGAGATGGCTCCCAATCTTAAAATGGAATTAGACTGGGTTCATCAATACCTTAGCTTTGAACTTTGAATTTGTATATCCAACATCTATTTGATATGTTTACCTAGATGTCTAATTCAAACTTAACACATTGAGAGCAGAATTCTCTATAATCTTTACAGTGTTCTAATCCTGCAGGGTTCTACTCTAAGCCCCCACTGTTTTGCCTCCTCTTATTCCACTTGTCCAATAACTTTGTTTCAGTTATGCTGACCTTGTTTGCCTCTCCCATCTCCCAAATTTTGTTTTATTCACTGTTATGTTCCCAGTGTTTAACATATCACCTAGGTAGGTTCTGTTAGGTGTTGGTAAGTGCTCAATATATATGGTTATTGGTTGAGTTAATGAATGACTGTTCCTTAAAACACAAAGCCAGGGAATTTTCATCCACTGTTCTCAAGGTCATGAAAGCTAGTTCCCTGATTTTAGTATGGCTAGTTCTTTCTCATTCAATAAGTCTCAAGCTTCAAAAATCACTTCCACAGCAAAGCCCTCTCAGAATTTGTCTCCCATTTTCTATTGAATTACCATAATATATTTTTATCAACACACTTATCATCACCTGCTATTTTGTTGTTTAATTTGCATGTTGTTTGTCTTAAGCTACCTTCAGTGTAAGCTCTCGAAGTACAGGGACCTTGTCTGTTCCTTCTGTGCCCAAACAGTGCCAGGTTGTATGTTAGACATTCAACATTTGTTTACTGAATTAAATCCAGGTCTGTCAGACCTCAAAACTCAAAAGAGTGTTTTCTCTAGGTGGTTCTTTATTCAGGCAATATTTTCTCCTCTTCTTTGTATATTCTAACATCTTCCCTGCACAAGAAAATAAATATAAGGATTCTAAGCTCTGAAATTGTCGGTATTTAGCAAACAGTAATAGAACATCATTCACGTGCCAAGAGCTAGGCTACGTGCTGACTACATAAAGCTAAATAAAACTTCTCTCAGGAAGGTTATTGAGATTTTGGAAATACGTATATAAAATGACTAGACTTCTTTGGTTTCGTGTCCCAATGGTTTTAACCTCTGGAACGGCAGCATCTTTGCACTGAGTCTTCCAGACCTGGGTGCCAGACAGCAGTAATGGGCCCTGTCACCAGCCCATGTATTTGAGGCTGCGGCACCGAGCGCTAGGCCACGCCCATGGTGCTGCGCCTCGCCCCTTCCCTGCCCTCAATCGCGAAGAGCCCCAGGGGCGGGGCCGGTGGCGGCCACTCACGGCCTCCCACGTGTCGCAGCGGTAATGACGTAAAACAGACGCCGGGACCTGCGCTGCGGCTGGGGCTCTGCGGTTAGACCTTCCCTGTTGCTGAAGGCCAGGAGTTGCTGCGTAGCGACGCGCAAATCTCCGCAGCCCCCTGCGGGCCCACGGGTGGCTGGCCACTGCGCGCCATCTTCACCGAGCGCTATGGCAGTGGCCCCGGGGCCGGGAGCGGGCGGGCGCTGCCAGCTCCTGGGCCTCTTCCTTCTTCTACTGATCGCGGGCCCTGCCCTGGGCTGGAACGACCCTGGTGAGTGCTGTTGGGGTCCTTAGGCACCTCACTGGCTCTTTCCTGCCGTCTTCGGCTGGGGCTCTGAAGCACTGCGGGCAGCCGTTTCACTTCGTCGCTCCTAAAGCATTTTGCCGTAATTCCTCATTTCTTTGCTCTCTGCTGGTCATTTTATACCCTGCTGTCTTCTTTGCTCTTCCAAGTGGGGACGGTTGGGGAGAGGGCGGGACGGGACGAATCTTCCCTTTTCCCCTTTTTTTCCTTCTGTGCACACCAAATTTTGGCCACCTTCTTCTCGGACCACCACTCTAACCAGTGAGTGATTGGCGAGTTCGACACTCATCTGCGCGACTTGCTTTGTATTCAAGGCTGTCTGATGTCGTCGTCACAAACGGTTGTCATGGCTGCCTGTTGCTATAGTTCATAGTCGTCATGCCACCAGCAGTGCCTGAGTCACAGTGGACAGAACCACACACTTGGCAACAGAATCATAGACTGTACTGTTTCTGTGAGCAGAACTCCGCTTGATATTCTAGCCAGTGCAGTGAAATTCATTGTTACATTAGCTTTTATACAAGGATTTTAAAAACATTTTTATGTATTTTTTCAGCGATGGTACATAGAGAAGGGGCCTTTTTAAAAAAATATATTTATTTAGCTGTAGATAAACACACACAGTATCTTTATTCTTATGTGGTGCTGAGGATTGAACCCAGTGCCTCACACATGTAAGGGAAGCATTTTTACCACTGAGCTACAGCTTCAGCCTGGCAAGGGGCCTTTTTATATTATTTTGTTATTAAAATTTTTAAAGTGGCTTAGTCAAAAATGATATTTTTGGTGAATACAAGTGTAAAGCATAGCAACATTGCATTTGTGATTTGATGATTGGACTTGCCTACATGTTCTAATTTAAGCAACAGTTTTATTTTTGTTAAGATCTTGTTTTCTTTCTGCATGCTGAAAGGAGAGAGAAGGTTCTGTTTGCAAGCTTATACTTCCCCACCCGTTTGATGTGGATGTTTTATTTCCAATAAATAAAAAGTCAAGTTAGATTTAAATGTCTGTATATTTTCCTTATATATTCTTAGAAAGTTGTATAAAAATGAGAGACTTAATCAGAATTATAATTTAAAACCTGGAATGAGACATCTGATTAGTTGAACTCTCTTTAAAAAAAAAAAAAAAAAGGAAGTATAAAAGGGTAACTGTAAAAAGAAAAATAATCACATTTAAATTAATGGTGAACCACTTCCTGGTGGCCCACAAAGAGAAGTGTAGGTATAGACACCTACACTATAAGACTATTGTTCTGGAACAAAAGTACCAAAATATTTTGCAGAGTAAACTCATTTCTAATTCACATGGTTTACTTTGAGGAACTGTTTTATGAAGGTACTATATTGGTATACTGCTTATCATATCCTAATAAAGCAACTGGCTAATTTATTTTTTGTTTGACTTTGGATGCATTTACTTGGTCTTTAGCTAACATAGAGCAATCGTATGTCTGATAAAATGGCACCATCCTAAAAAAATTACCTAAGAATCTTCAAAATTCTTTTTGAAATTAGTCTTCTATTTAAGTCACTCCTCTAGATCTGAATATAGCTGTGAACAAAACAGAGTAGCTTACCCTTAAGGAATTTACATCTATTGAGAAGTAAGAATAAACAAATAAGCGTGTAAATCACATGGCATACTTACAGTGATAAAACTGAAGAATGATAGGGTATGCAGGCAGAATTCGGGACTTAAAAATATAACTGGGTTAGGGAAGAAGTCACCAATAACGACATATGATCAGAAATCTGGAGAGAAAGGTGAAGTAAAGGATTTTATGACTTAAATTTTTAAAGGCTCATATGGGCTACTCTGGAAGACAAACTAAAAGGGGTAGCAAGGAGATAGTAATAATTTTCATACTTGATCACCTGTTGTGCATCAAGTACTCTGCCAGGTAATTTAGGCAAATTATATCTAAGCTTCACAATAAATCTCAAGGTTGATACCAACATCTTAATTTCTTGTTGTTGGTGGTGGTGGTGCTGGGGATTGAACCCAGGGCCTTGTTGGATCTAAGGCAAGCACTCTACCAACTGAGCTATATCCCCAGGCCCCAACATTATAATTTTATGCATGACAAAACTTCTACACAGATAGTGCCTTGACCAAAGTCAAATAGTAAGTTGGTGATGACTGTTTAGCTCAGTATTCTTTGGGAAGTTTTTGATCATTAAAGATGATGATGATGATGAAAGATGATGATGGTGAGGAGGAGGAGGAGGAGGAGGAGTACCAGGGATTGAACTCGGGCACTTGACCACTGAGCCATATCCCTAGCCCTGTTTTGTATTGTATTTAGAGACAGGGTCTCACCGAGTTGCTTAGTACCTTGCTTTTGCTGAGGCTGGCTTTGAACTCGCTATCCTCTTGTCTCAGCCTCCTGAGTCACTGAAAGCTGCTGAGATTACAGGTGTGTGCCACTGTGCCAGGCAGAGACTAATTTGGTACATAGTGTAAGATAGGATTTAACTGCCTTTGCCTATGAATAGTCTATTGTCCTAATACTACTTACTCACAAATTTGTTCTTTTTATTCTCTGAATTGATTATTTTGTTTGTTTTGGGGGTACTAGGAATTGAACCCAGGACCTTGCACATGCAAGTCAAGCCCTCTACCACTGAGCTACATCCCCAGCCCTTTCTCTGAATCAAAATGTCACCTTAGTCATATACAGAATTTTCCTGTACTATGATTATGTTTCTCAGTAATTGATTCCATTTCATTGATCTATTTTTCTAATTCCATGCCAGTGCTATATTATTTACTATAGAATTAACTGTTTTGCTACATATAGCCTAAATTTTCTTCCTTTGTTACTATTTCCTTCAAATATTAGCAGTTTTCTACATTTATATTTTCATTTAAATTTTAGGATCTATTATGATTCAACGAAGTATTCTGTTGGTATTTTGATCAGAATTTCATTGATTATACAGATTAATGTGGAGAACATCGGTAGTTTCTATGTGATATTCCTACTTGTGTATATATCATACAATTTTCCATTTATTCCTTTCACTTTTATGTCTAAGAAATGTTTCTAGTTCTTTGCATAATGGTTTTTGCTAACTTACTTTATAAAGAATGATTTTCTTGTTTTATTATTATTATTTTTTTTTTTGGTTTTTTAAAATTCTAAGATTTTTGTCTTCTCATTTTATTTTAACTTATGTGTTCTAAGATTTTTCTTTCCTTTTTTCTTTGGTACTGAGAATGTAAACCCAGACCCTTGTGCACGCTAAGTAGCAATTCTACTACTGAGTTGTACTCCTCTAAGCCCATTTTGTTTTCAATTTTCTTAGCATGAATAATTAATTCATTATGTCCAACTTAAAAACAGTACCAACAGCGAGGTGTGGTGGCACATGCCTGTAACCCCAGCAGCTTCGGAGGCTGAGGCAGGAAGATTACAAATTCAAGGCCAGCTGAAACAATTTAGTGAGACCCTGTTTCAATAATAATAATAATAATAATAATAATAAATTTATTATTATAAATAAATAAGGTGATGTAGCTCAGTGGTAGAGCACCTCTGAATTCTATTCCTACTACCATTAAAAACAAAACAAAAAAAGTAAAAACATCTAGGTAGTAAATATTCCTTTGTGCCCCATAGATTTTTTTTTTAAAAAAACCTTTTCATATTAAAACCTAATGCATATAGGTTTATTTAGTTGAACTGAATTGAATTAACATTTTTGAAACCTGAATGCCTTTAGACGGGATTTGAATTCTCCATTTACTACAGCCCTACTACTTCCTGCATATTTCATTCAACCAACTTTAGTCAGACCTTTCATGTATTTTAACCATTTGGCTGGCATTTGAATTTGCAAGCCCAATTCTAAATTTGTTTTGATGTCAATCTGATGGAAAGGCTATTTTTTATTTTCCAATTAAATTATTTGAAGCCTTATATTATCTTAATATATATAAATAACTTAATATATGATTTTCTTTCTAGTTTTAAGTGTATATGTATTTGCAGGTGTGTTTGTGTGTGTGAGTGTGTGTGTATAAAAAGAGGTGGGAAAGAGAGAGATTAAAAAACATTTTTTTTTTGTACTGCTGGGAATTGAATCCAATAAATCTCAAGGTTGATACCAACATCTTAATATATTAAGTCACACTTCATGTATGCTAGGCAAGACGTCTACCAATAACCTACATCCTCACCCTTTTCAATATTTTAAATTTTGAGGCAGGTTCTTTCTGAGTTGTCCAGGCTGGCCTCAAACTTGGTAATCCTCCTACCTCGGCTTCCCGAGGAGCTAGGATTCCAAGTGTGCACCACTGTGCTTGGCTAGTAGTTTTCCTTCCTTCCTCCCTCCCTTCCATCCTCCTTTCGTCCTTCTTCCTTCTTTCCTTCCTTCATCTCCCTCCTTCCCTACCTTCCTTCCTTCCTTTTGAATCCAGGAGACTCTACCACTGAGGCACATCCAGCCCTTTTTGATTTTTATATTTGAGGCAAGATCTGGCTAAGTTGCCAAGACTGACTTTGAACTTGCAGTCAGTCCTCTTGCCTCAGCTTCCCATGTTGCTAGGATTACAGTCATGTTCTAACATGTCCAACTTAGTTTTATTATATTTTGGTGAGACAATGTGGCCTATAAATCTTAGCCTATAAATCTCTTAATGGGTGAATGTGGTCTATCAATCTTAGTGGAATTCAATAAGTTCATTTTAGGTAAAATATAAGTGAGATTTGTATCTGTTAACATAAAAGAATGTCCATGATATATGATTAAGTAAAAACTTTTAGAGTGATATCCATTCCATATTCAGTTTTTATGAAAATAAACTGACAAGAATCAAAATAGTCCCTGTATTTGTATCTGTTTGAGTGAGGAATAAAAAGAATAAAGAAAGGTACTTATTAAGCTGTTAATTTTGGTTATCACAGAAATGTGGAGGAAGAGTAGGATTCAAGATTCAAGCTGGGAGCAGTGGTGCACACCTGTGAACCCATTGGCTTGCTTAGTAGGCTGAGGCAAGAGGATTGCAAATTCAAAGCCAGCTTCAGCAACTTAGCAAGACTGTGTCTCAAAATAAAAAATAAAAGGGCTGGGGATGTGGCTAGTGATTAAGCACCCCTGGTACCAAAAAAAAAAAGGATATTTTACATTTAAATAATTGGTGAAGCATAATTATAGATGAATACATAAAGACATATATACATAGTTTTAAAAATAATAATAAAATGAATATCAGTGTATCTCCATCCAGTTAAGAGAAAGAAGAGAAGCATTCTGCATGCTCCTTTCTAAGCATATCTTCTCAAAGGTAACCACTACCATGATTATTTGAATGAATAATTTCCTCACTCTAGTTTTTCATGCATGTGGTAAAGCTATACAGGTTTTGAAAACCTGACTCTCTCTTTTCCTAGAAGTATAAAGAAGGTCTCTGGTTTTAGATTTCTTGAGACTTAAAGAGTCCTTTCTGGGGAAGTCATTGAGGAAAATCATGGGTAACATAGTGCTCGCTATAGTTAGGTCACCTAACTATGCCTAGGGCTCTGCTGGATCAGGTCGTAAACATTTGTAGAAATATGGCCAGATGAGGAGTAGATTGCTCTAACTTCTAAGCTTAGCATGATCTGTCTGTAGTATTCATCAATAGATAAACCTAGAATGCTGCTTTCTCTTTGATGATATTTATGTCCTCAGCTTATCCCAGGAACTGGAAGAAAGAAGAGGAATTTCATCATCTGAAGATTGAGACAAGCCAAATAACAGATAAAATTCAAAGTCAGGTTCCCCTGGACATTCTGTCCAGATGAATCAAAGAGATGGTATGTTAGCAGCAGGCATCTTAATGCTGGCGGCTCTTGTGTCTTTCTTTTGAGCAGTGCTCTTTCAGTGTGGTCTCTGACTGATATATGGCTGTCATCTGGGATCTTCATTCATCATTCTTCTGGGAATTTCTTTTGTCTTTTTGTATACTGTTATTTTTTCTTTACTCCTCTGGTTTTCATGTCTTTTTCTTCATTTCATTTGCTGATGAATAATTTTTAAGTATTTTACTGAAAATGAATATATAAGTAAGGTAATATTTTGAAACTTTTCAGAAGCCTGAAACCGTATTCTATTTATTGGCTTCTATGACAACCTAAAATTTTATACTCAACCAAACTCTTTACTTTATAATTTTGAAAGGAAACAGTTCTCCATTTTCTTTGTCAATCCTGTTGGGATACTATCTGAAGCTTTTGATGTGTGTGTGTGTGTGTGTGTGTGTGTGTGTCCTGTTTTTCTCACTTTTGGTAATTTTTAGGTCTTTATTATTCTGCAATTTACTGTTTGTGTGCCTCTATGTCCTTTATTTTCAGGCCTAGGTATTTATTGGTTTCTTTGAGTGTGACATCTTATATCCTTCAGAGTGAGATCTTTTCTTGAGTTATATCCCTGAGTTTGTCACACTTATTTCTGTGTTCTTTCTTTCTAAAACCCTGTTTCTTTCAGGAACCCACTTCCTAAGATGTTCTTATGAGTTAGCAAAAGTTTGGTAAAACTTACATAAGTATCTTTCTGGTTTGAAGGGAGATCTGAAAGATGTGGCTACCTTGAATTTTGAGTGTAAGGCCTGAATGTTATTAGGATGGCTTTAAGAAACTGCTTCATGAGGCTGGAGCTATGGCTCATTGGTAGGGCACTTGTTTAGCATGTGTGAGGCACTGGGTTTGATTCTCAGCACTGCATATAAATAAATAAAATAAAGGTCCATTGACAACTAAACAATATATTGAAAAAAAAAAAAGAAAAAAACCTGCTTCATCCTCTTTAGTCATTCTCAAAAGGCACTTTTACTTTGGAACAGTTCCCTATGGCAGAAGTTTCATTAGGATGAATCAATTTCTATGGTTGACAAGATATTTATTCTGTGTTCATCTGTGTTCTTATTATTTCAGACAGAATGTTGTTGCGAGATGTAAAAGCTCTTACCCTCCACTATGACCGCTATACCACCTCCCGTAGACTGGATCCAATCCCACAGTTGAAATGTGTTGGAGGCACAGCTGGTTGTGATTCTTATACCCCAAAAGTCATACAGTGTCAGAACAAAGGCTGGGATGGTTATGATGTACAGGTAATAGCCGCAAAATCAATGGCAGTTAAAATGAAATTTTTATTCAATGAACTGTTTATTGGGATATTAATATTTTGAGGAAGCACGTATGGAAAATTTCAGGTCATTGTAAAATATATAAATAAATCATTTATTATTCCTCTGGAACAAACATTCTTCAAAAAATGAACTGATTTTAAAGCTTGGAAATAATGTTCATTGTAATTTTTGTAAGTGACTTCCTTCTAACATTTTACTTCATGTATACTTCTGGTTGTCATTTTCCTGTCATTTCTCAAAGATTATGAACCTACCCGTAAGAAATAAAATTAAGGTGATCAGGAGTAATAAATTTAAAATACTAGGTAGGGTACATGTGTCCTTGTTGTTCTTCAAACACTTATTTATTTATTTTGGGAGGTACTGGGGATTGAACTCAAGGGACACTCGACCACTGAGCCACATCCCCTGTCCTATTTTTTATATTTTATTTAGAGGCAGGGTCTCATTGAGTTTAGCACCTCACTTTTTACTGAGGCTGCGTTTGAACTCAGTCCTCCCATCTCAGCCTTCTGCGCTGCTGGGATTACATGTGTGCGCCACCACCACTGGCTTCAAATTTTAGAACTGCTTTAGAACCGAGGATAGTTTCTTGTGAACAGAAGCATTAGGAGGTTTGTTTAGTTATTGCCTTTGGGATGTTGGTATTTTGTACATAGGGTAGAGCTAAGTTCTAAAACTTAGTATGTTTTAAAGATGGAATAGATTTTATTAAATGAATTCACTTTAAGTCACTACTTATATATTTCTGTTTTGTTTTCTGCATGTTTACAAAAAGGATTAACATGACTAGTTTCTAGATAAGAATCTTGTGTTGATGATTTCCCCTTCCAATACAATAATATTCTTATTTGATAAAGCCTTATACATGGCTAATGAATTCAGGAAGAAAGTTCATGTTTGCTGGGTGATATTTATTTCACAACATATTTTTCCAGTATTGATACATCATATCATGGAATGTTCAGATTAAAGCAGGCATTACACTTCTAAATTACTTTTATGTATTAAATGTGTTGTATATAAAATGAGTATGATAGAATAAAGAAATTTTCTTTCTAGTAGAAAAGATAATATACTAAATTATATGCACATACCAACAGAGTGTGAAGTTGTGTCTGGCTGCAGTCTTTGAGGAAAACTTAGTGGGGGGAGTATATATGCTGTTAGGAAATAAACTTTTTAGAGATGAAGAGAGAGAGAGAAAGGAATAGCACCAGCAAAGAAACATGGAACACATCATACGTTAGCTTGTGTTTAGTAGCAGGAGCTTAAATTTAAATATAGTATTTAAAAGTTACTTTCAAAATGTAGAAAGTACATACCTTTAAGGAAATGGCAGTTAATATGAAATACCAAAATAGATTTTGCTTTTTTATTAACTTACGTCAGAAAACATATAGATCTTTCTCCAAATAAAATTATTCAAAAATAAAATAGGGTAGTAAAAATAGTAACAAAAAGAAAAACTGAATAGTATCCAAATTAAAAACTTCTGGGCGTCAAAGAAACCATCAAGAAAAGTGAAAAAGACAGCCTGCAGAATGGGAGGAAGCTTTGCAAATCATATCTGATGAGAGACTTGTATCTAGCATATATGAAGAACTCTCACAATACAAGATGACAATATTTCTTTAAAGGATATATGCAAATGACCAATAAACACATGAAAAATGTCTGCCATCAAAAGCCATTAGAGAAATGCTGATCAAAACTGCAATAAGATACCACTTGGGACTGGGGATGTGGCTCAGTTGGTAGAGTGCTTGCCTTGCATGCACAAGGCCCTGGGTTCAATCCCCAGTACCATGGGAGGGAAAAAAAAAAAAAAGATACCACTTCATATTCAATAAGAAGTGTGAAGGCTAGAATGAAAAAGACAGATACAAGTGTTGGTGAGAAGACCCTCATACATTGCTCTTGGGCATGTAAAACAGTGCACCTGCTTTGAAAAACTATCTGGAATTTTCTTAAAGTAGAATTATCACATGCCCTAGTCATTCTCTTTCTATGTATATATTCAAGAGAATTGAAAACATATTTCCCAGGCTGGGGTTGTAGCTCAGTAGTAGAGTGCCTAGCACATGTGAGGTCCTGGGTTCAATCCTCAGCACCACATAAAACTGAAATAAAGGTATTGTATCCACCTACAACTAAAAAATAAATATTAAAGAAAAGATATTTCCCCATAAAAGCTTTACATAAATGTTTACAGCAATGTCAGTTAAATAACTAAAAAGTCTAGAAATAATCCAAATGTCCATTTTTGATGCTTTCATCACTAATATGATGTGGTATATCCATACAGAGGACTATTTTTCAGAATTTTTAGCAAGTACTAATACATGCTGCAAAATGAATGAACTTTAAAAATGTTAATACTAAGTGAAAGAAGCCAGTCACAACGACCCACATAGTATGATTCCATTTATATGAAATGTCCTCAGTAAAGAAATCAATATAAACACAAAAAGTATTGGTAATAGGGTAGAAAGGTTTGAGGGAAAATGGGCAGTGTTACTAATGGGTTTGAGATTTCTTTGAGGATGATGAAAATACTTTAAAGTTAGTTTTGGTTATAATTGTTTCACTATGTGAATATACTTAAAACCAGTGAAATGTGTGAATTGGATGGTAGGTAAATTGTTTCTAAAGCTGTTTTAAAAAAAAAAAACAAAACATTTATTCTTTAGTTGTAGGTGGACACAATACCTTTATTTAGTTTTTTGGTGCTGAGGATTGAACCCAGAGCCTCAAGTCACGCATGCTAGGGGAGCACTTTTCCTCTGTGCCACAACCCCAGCCCCAAATCAAGCTGTTATTAAAAAAATAAAATAGTGTTTCTGAACTTTGAGAGAGAAATATAACTTGTACAAAATTTAGCAAAGGCAATAGAACTGATTAATCTACTTTAGCTTGTATCTTTAAATATTGTTAAAGAAATGTGTTATCTATGTAGCACAAAATATAGAAATTTAAACTGGAGCTTATATTTTTAAGGTGGAAATTTTTGAGGCTAACTTGGATGGTTTTTGCATTTTTCCATATATATGTGTGTGTGTGTGTGTGTGTGTGTGTGTGTGTGTGTGTGTATATATATATATATATATATATATATATATATATATATATTTATTTATTTATTTATTTTAACCTATCAGAATTACATAGGATTGGACCCTGGAAAAGTTAGTCCTTGATTTTATAAAATTTGTGTAGAAAGTTTTGTTTCTCAGAAAGTAGTAAAACATATCCAAATGCTATATGTGGCTATCAGATCTTCATATATGATGCTGAGTTTTGAGCCTTAATATCTTTAAAATCTCTGTTTAAAAAAAAAGTATCTTAAACAACAATGGCAAAAGTTAACATTTTGAAATTTGTTTGAATTTTATAAATTATAGCATTTATTTATTTATGGCATTTAAAAAAATATTGTCTTTATTTTATGTATTTATTTTTATGTGTTGCTGGGAGTGTTCCTAGGCGAGTGTTCTACTGCTGAGCTACAACCCCAGCCCTAAATTATAGTATTTAATAGAAATGATTATATAACTTACATGAAAGGAATAAAGATTGGGACTAGGGTGTGATAGAATGCTTGCCTAGCATGGGTGAGGTCCTGGGTTTCAGTCCCCAGTACTATGAAAAACATAAACAATGATGGTAAGGTAGAACACTTATATGCCCACTACCCAGCTTAAGAGGTAGAGCACTAATATCTTTTTGAAGCGCCCAGTTTGGTTTTCTCCACCAAAGAAATTGTCCTGAATTTCTTTTGTTGGTTATTCCTTTGCTTCATTTTGTAGATTTTATGATACATTAGTATAGGCCAAATAGTATATATTAAATTAAAGGGAATCTTTTGGTGCTAGTAACTTATTTCTGTTTTCTTTTCACAGTGGGAATGTAAAACTGATTTAGATGTTGCATACAAATTTGGAAAAACTGTGGTGAGCTGTGAGGGCTATGAGTCCTCTGAAGACCAGTATGTACTAAGAGGTTCCTGTGGCTTGGAGTATCACTTAGATTATACAGAAATTGGTCTGCAAAAATTGAAAGAGTCTGGAAAACACCCTGGCTTCTCTTTCTCTGATTATTATTATAAGTTGTACTCTGCAGATTCCTGTGGCGTTGGTGGATTGGTTACCATTGCCGTGCTGCTTACTATTGCCTTTGTAATTTATAAGTTGTTCCTTAGTGATGGTCAGTATTCTCCGCCACCATATTCTGAGTATCCTCCATATTCCCAGCATTACCAGCGGTTCACCAACTCAGCAGGACCCTCTCCCCCAGGCTTTAAGTCAGAGTTCACAGGTATGTTTCCCTCTCTGAGGGCAGTAAATAGGGGGGATCTGAAGTAGTGAATCCTTTGCTTGTTACTGAAACAGAAAATGGTCACATTGGGAAAGCAAAGTAGATTTGTCTTCTCATTTTTTCACTTTCAACTGCTTTAACTGCCTCTGTTCTATTTCTCTATAAGATTATATTATTTTATTATTTTTATTATATTATTTTATTATTTTAAGGATGCCTGGTTAAATTTAATCAGCTTTGACAATGGACATTTACAATGACTCCTATCTCATAATATACACAAAAAAATAAATTCATTAAGTATTATAGATCTCAACATAAAAGGTAAAATAAGTTACCAGAATAAAACAGAAGAATTTTTCCATGATGTTAGGATAGGCAAAGAATTCTTAAACAGAACACAAAAAGTACTAGCCATAAAAGTAAAGATGGATGAATAAGTCTTATTTAAATTGAGAACACTGGTTCATCAAAAAACACTGTGAGCCAGGTATGGTTGCACACACCTGTAATCTCAGCAGCTCAGGAGGCTGAGACAGGAGGATTGAGAGTTCAGAGCAAGCTTCAGCAATGGTGAGGCACTAAGCATCTCAATGAGACCCTGTCTCTAATAAAATACAAAAATTGGCTGGGGATGTGGCTCAGTGTTTGAGTGCACCTGAGTTCAATCCCTGGTACACCCCCCCCCCAAAAAAAAAAAAAAACACTATGAAGAGAGTAAAAAGGCAGCAAGCCACACATGGGGAGAGAGTGTTTGTAAAACATTTCCAACAAAAGACTTATGTCTACAATATATGAATGAAATCCTTATCAGAGGTATGGAAAAGAACTCATCTCTTAAATTTGGTACTTTGAACTAGCCATAGTTACCTGGCATTGCCATTAGTAAGGTGTATGGATTAGTTACTATAGGATGAATATCTGAAACAATGTTATTTTTAGATCTCAGATCTTGCCAAAATTAGAATTCATCAGTTTTATTTTTAAATTTCTTATGTGAACAGGCAGGGTGGGGTCTTGCAGGGTATTTGGCAAAGCCAACTGATTCCATCTTTTAGGAACTTGTCCACTAGAGGCTTCATCCCTATTAAATTTATATCTCTTCAGGTTAAGGTGGTATCTCAATGGCAGAGTGCTTGCCTAGCTTGTGTGAGGCACTGGGTTTGATCCTTAGCATAACATAAAAATGAAACAAATAAAGGCATGCTGTCCATCTACAACTACAAAAAAATAAAAATACTTATATTTGAAGAACTTCCACAAATCTGGGAAAAAACAACCCCATTTTCAAAACTGACAGAGGACTTGAACTACTGTTTAATAAAAGAGGATATTTCTAATGGCCAATATAACATGCATATGCTCAGTGTGATTAGTCTATAGGGAAATGCATAATAAAACCACAGTGAGATGATTTTTAACTACCAATTAACTGCCATAATGGCAAGTCTTAAAAGGAGTACTAAGAATTGGTATATAGAGAGAGTGACTGGACCTTTCATCCTTTTTTTTTTCTCCTTTCCTGTCATTTTTAGTACTGAGCCAGGGCCTGGAGCATGCTAGGCAAGTGTTCTACCAGTGAACTACATCCTCATCCTTTTAAAACTTTATTTTGTGACACAGTCTTGCTAAAGTTGCAGACAGGCTCAGTGGTATACATCTATAATCTCAGCTACTTGGAAGGTATTATCCAGAATGGCTTTGAACTTGTGATCTTCCTGCCTCAGCCTCCCAAGTAGGTGCATGTCACCACTATGGGATGAAACTTTCAAACTTTTGTTTTTAGGAGTCAGAATGGTAAAACAGTTTGGAAATCTGTCAGTATCTACTAAAACTAAACATATACCTATCCAATTACCATAATTGCTATTCCTCGTTAACTTCATTAAGAAAAGTGAAGGCATATGTACACAAACAAATGCACAAGAATGTTGATAGCATTTTTATTCACAACAGCTAAAACCAGGACATAGAAATTAGAGTGGGGTAGACTGAGTTTTTCACACAGGGTCATACTGTATGAGATAAAAAATTACTGATCTATGCATCAGTAGGGTTGACTCTTATAAACATAATTATATGTCAAACACAAGCGAATATTATACATCCTTATGAGATCCCATTTGAAAAAGTTCAGGAATAGATAAAATTAAAACATGGTGCAGAAGTCAGATATAGATGGTATCTATTGGGAATTGTCAAAGAGCCTTGTAGGGTGTCAGAATTGGTTTATTGAGGGTGGTTATGTGGATGTATACATATGTACAATTTATTGTGCCATATGTACACAGAAGATTAGCATGCTTTCCTATATGTTTATTATACGCTGATTTTTAAAAAGCTTTGTCTGAGCAGAAGATACTTTTTTGACCTCTTAAAGATCTTACTTCCCAACTGGTACAAATAAATAACTAGCTGGTTTCCTACATTACAGACTCAGATGTGTCTCTCACCTGGACCTCTTAAGAGACATTCTCAGTACAGAAGGGAAATAACTTAGAAAAATGGGATCATCTTCTAGTAACTTATCTGGAGCCAGGCGGACGTAATTCTACAAGAAGACCCTCCTTTAAGCCCCCAAATACATCCCTCTTACTCTCTTCTTTTTGTGGGGTGAGGGGGTACTAGAGATTGAACTCAGAGGCACTCGGCCACTGAGCCACATTCCTAGCCCTGTTTTGTAGAGACAGAGTCTTACTGAGTTGCTTAGTGCCTCACCATTGCTGAGGCTGGCTTTGAACTCGATCCTCCTGTCTCAGCCTCCTGAGCCACTGTGATTACAGGTGTGCATCACCGCACCCCAATCCTCTTTCTCTTGTCTACTGAAAATGTGTTCCTTGGTTATAAAGCAATATTTTTACAAATAGCCTTTTTGAATACAACTTGTTTCTAAATTGAGGCCTAAGTATAGTAGTACAGTACAGATGGAATACTTGAAATGTCATGTTAGTTTTTTTAGGCTATGTTACATTTAAGTGACGATACAGAATTTAGTAAATTGTTCTTATTTTAAGGACCAGACAATACTGGCCATGATACAGCTTCTGATTTGGGGAATGCTTTTGCAGGACCACAAGGATATGAAAATTCAGGACCAGGATTCTGGACTGGCCTGGGAACTGGAGGAATATTAGGATATTTGTTTGGCAGCAATAGGTAGGTATTGCTTTGATCTCATTTGTCCTTTAGTTTAACTTTTCCTTTGAGGCTTCTTTGATTTGCTTTTAATTTGACTGCATTAGGTTCTGTTAAGGAAAATAAATTATGGTGATATGACCCTATTAAATCAGATTCTTTGGTAAAGTTTACTATATATGTTTTGATCAATATTGTATGTTATTTTCCTTCATTGTTTTTTTCATGTTATCTTTATATATATCACAAGATAGAAAAGACTGTTTCTTGACATCTGAGTAAATGAGAAGGCAGAAAAGAGCACAATATTTGGGGAAGGAACAGACTGCTTAGGTAGGAGAAGGAGACTCAAGGCTGAAAAAGCCAGGGGCTAGATTCTGCAGTGCTTTATTAATGGTAGTTTTAAGTTTAGATTTTACCTGAGTATAAATTGAGAAAGAAAGAGCATTTATTTCTTTTTTGTTTCTTCATGGCAATGACCATAACAATGTCAGAAATATAAAGTGATTTATTTCATGTTAACCCTCATGTGCCAGAACATTCAGGAAAAATCATTTGATAGAAATATTTTCTTCTGATGATTTAGGAACAGGAAGGTTATTAAAAATTGTAGTTCCAAGAAGGATGCCTAACCTATTTTTATGTCTTTAAAGAGCAGCAACACCCTTTTCAAACTCATGGTACTACCCATCTTACCCTCCGTACTCTAGCACCTGGAATAGTCGTGCTTACTCACCACTTCATGGAGGCCCAGGGAGCTACTCAGCATGTTCAAACTCAGAAACGAAAACCAGAACGGCAACGGGTAAGAGCAGAAATATAGATGTTCCTATCATGTAGCAGGAAAGTATAGTAGTAGTTTAGGGACTTAAGATGATGACTATATTTAGCAATCATGATTTTATGTGGTATACCCACCAAAAACATTAATAACATAATTGACAGAGATTTATGCTATGTACTCTTGCTTGGGCTGGTTTCAAACTCCTGAGCTTGGGCCATCTTCCTGCCTTAAACCTCCTGGGTGCTGAGATAACAGGTGTGCACCACAGTGCTCAGCTTCAAAAAACATATTGAGTCATACTTTTGGTAATTGTCAATAATATGATGCTGGGTTTCCGTTCTTGCGATTAAAAAGCTCAGGGGTTACTCCAGTTGAACTGGGCTAACTGGGCTGCGCAAAATAACTCTACAAGTATCTTTTCTTTGGGGTCCCTGGGATGGCTCCTCTGACCTTAAGGGTCTGCAGAAAGAGAAAGCCCTTTTATTGAGGAGAAGCTATGCAAATGAGGCAAGGGGTCAGGTTTCAGGGGGCTGAGTCTGTCTTCATGATGTCCACTGTCAGCAGATTGACATCTGGGTAGGCCACACCCAAAGGCACAGTGAGATAAGGAACACACAAAGGCACTTCCATGGAACATTCTATCCTAAACAGGGCAAGGGGTAATATTACAAAGGAACAGGTGAGCATAGCTCCACCTATGGGGCTGTAGGAAGACACAGTCACTGGAACCCTAGAAGAGTGGCAGTCTAGCAGCATGGGTGCCTGATGCCACATTACCCGGCAAGGGAGTTAACTCAGTCATGTGTGAGGTTGGTCTCCCACAATATGATATGTTTACTTCAAAGGGTAGAAAGTATATTTTATAAAAAGCAAAAACCAAGTAGTAACTATTTGGAATTAAACATCCAACTAGTCAGCGGAACATGAGAGGTGGTGGATAATGAGGCAGTTGTCAATTGCTGTGGATTAGATTTGTCTTTTTCTACAGATTCCTCAGCTGTTGAACAATTATTAATTCTTGAAATTGATAGGAAATATATATTTAAGCATTTTTAAAAATTTGAGAATGAAATTCTTATAGTGCTGGTTTGAATATAAATTGATACAGTCACTTTGAAAAGAGGTGTTACCTACTATAGTTGAACCTAAGCATACCTAGGACCTAGCAGTTTCACTCTCAGATATGGTTGTGCTTCCATATTGTAAGGGATGGTTCCAGGACCTCCCTCCCCCAGTGATATCAAAATCTGTAGGTGCTATGGATTGAAAACAGGCACACACTAGGCAAGCTGACTACCATTGAGCCACATCCCTAGCCTGGTCCAGTCCCTTATATAAAGCTGATGTAGTATTTGTATGTAACATAAAGGTATCCTCTCAAATAATCTAAATTATATCTAGATAACTTATAATACCTAGTATAATGTAAATGCTATGTCAATAGTTGTTGTATTTTATTTTTTAGGGAATAATAACAGGAATAAAGTCTATATATCTTTAATACAAATATAATTCTTTTTCCAAAAAATACATTTTTGCGTGTCAGCAGGGATTGAATCCAGAGCTTTGCACATGTTAGGTCTGAGTTACATCCCAAATTCTTTTTAAAAGTATTTTCAATATGAAAATGTGGAACCCACAGACAGGGAGGGCCAAAAAAAAAAAAAAAAACAACCTGTATTTAGCAACAGAAATGCATATACTTGTACACTTGTACACTGACAGATAAACACGAGAATGTTCATAGCGTTCCTATTCATAATAGCCTCCAACTGGAAGCAACCCATTTATCTGTTAGCAGTAAAATGGGTGGATAAATTGAGGTATTTATTCCTTGGAATATTGAGAAACAGTGAAAACAAGTAAGCAGTGGTATGCAATAATGTGGATAGATCTACCAAGGATAAAGAATCCAGACATAAAAGAATATATGCAGTGTGATTATAATATCTGTACATGTTCAAAACAAAACCAACTTGTAGTGTTAGATGTTAAGGTGGTGATTTCTAGGCAGGCACAGTGGCACATGACTGTAATCCCATCTACTTGGGAGGCTGAAGCAGGAGGATTACGTGGGCCAAGGAGTTCAAGGCCAGCCTGGGCAACATAATGACACCCAGTTTTTATTAAAGAAAAAAAAATTGCGATTACTTTTGGTGAGAAAAAGTGGGTTAGTGATTGGGAAAAAATATAAAAATATGGCTAGAATAGACATCATGATAGAAGAAGGCTCATTCTCATGGGAAACCAAACTGGGAAAAAAAATCATAGCTATTCACTAGACATACATGGGACATACTAATATGAAGAAAATCATGAAATATTACCGAACAACCTAAAAAAAAATTAAGAGACTTTCCCATCTGGACACAATGGGAAAACTTGTCAATTGTAGCCTGTTAGTATGATAGGTAAGGGTGTAGTAGGGAAGCAGATGTCTAAGTAAAACTGACCTTTGAAATTATGCCCCGCCCATTTCTTCTACTTATCACTGGACTTGGAGTTATAAGGGATACCAGAGCATGGCTCATGCATTGTTGACCTCTCTGCCTTTTTGGCTTAGACTTTGAGTGTTAACTGTCCTATGTTGACTAGCCACAGAATGCATCTTCTTTGGTTTTCTAACCAAAAGTTATTCTCAGCAAGCGTGTGTGAATTCATTACGCTTGAAAATGGGGAGAGGGGCTGTGGGAAATGCCACACTATCCTGCATGGTCCTATTCCACTAGGCAACTCTTTCATTCCTTCCTTCATGTCTCTCTTATTCATCGGCTAACAATAAACATGTATTACTCTTATAATTTTGTAAGCAATTTTAATATATTTTTTTAACTAATCAAAATTTTACTCTTCTCATTCTAGGATATGGTGGTACCAGAAGACGATAAGGTAGAAGATTGAAGTCAAACACTGGATGCAAAATTTCTGATTTTTCATCCTCTTAAAAAAAAAAAAAAAGCTACTGCTAACATCTGGGGAAAGGGGATGTTCAAAATTTCTGTGGTGTACTGTCCCGTATAGCTTTTTGTATTCTGTTAAGAGATGATAGTATGACAAAATGCTTATGTATTGTATGTTAGTATAATAAGCAGGTGTATATTGCAGTTTTTGCAAGTGATTGCTAAGGAATGCTGAAAATGTGTTGTTTATTTATAAAACTTGTAATACTATAAGGAGCATTAATAATGAAGGCATTAAACCAGTAGAAACTGATTATAGAAATTTTCAGTCTCAGGTGGTTTTAGTCAGTGAGTCATTACTTCATAGAAATAATAATATTCTGTACTTTATTTGGTGTTCTCTGTCTTTCAAATATTTAAATCAAGTTTTGGACTACTGATAATACTAATTTGTGGGTTTTGATCATTTTTAAGCTCTGAAGCATTGAATCCTTCAGTGGTAATGGACTTATGGTAAATGAGAATTATCTTTTTATAGAAAAGGGTGGAAAATAAGGATCTTAGAAGGTTGTTGTGAATGATTATGTGCTGACAAAAATGCTTGAAGTTTTTGTATTTCTTCAGTTCCCAAGAGGTAAAGTTCAGATACTTCAAGAAAGGTCTTCTAATAGCAAAAGCATGCAGTTCTCTGTGGAATCTCAAATATTGTTAATAGTCTGTTTCAGTCTTACCTTAATATGATATAATAAATAAAAACAAACAAGAGGTATTGTTCTCATTCTTTCTACTGGCCTTGGTACAAATTGGCATGACCTTTTTTTACCCTTTTTCCCAGAGGAATAGAGTTTGTGCAGAAGTTGTCTCCCTACACAAGAAGTTCATGTTAGTCAAACCTTAGGTACTAGTCATTTAGTAAATGTTTTCAAAAAGTAAGTTAGAAATAATATGGAAGTCTCTTGCTAAAAAAGTAATTCTTAAAAGAATATAATCTCCAAGCTTCCCAACCCATCAGAGATTACTCTTTAATTAAACTTTGTACCCTGAGTGTTTCACTGTTTAATTTTAGGAACCAATTTAAAACCAACCAACCAGTCCTCATTGAGAAGTGTGACCTAAAGGGTAGTTACCAAAGGTATTTAAGTAGAACTACCCTTTCTTCATCTGTAAAGCTTATTAGGAATTTTAATTTCTTTCAAAGGAAACATGGGGGCAGCCTTACCCCATTTTCTTGAGGTATCCTTACCTCATATCTCCTTAGTAGAATAATATGGAAAAAAGAGAATTCAGTGTATTACCTTTTTCTCTGTTGGCTTATTATTATTGGGGTTTTAGTTTATTATTTGCTATAGGAGTTGATAATCTTACATTAAGTATGTTTTACTTGTGGAATAATGTAAAAAAAAAAATGTTAATCAAAAGCTGGTATGGATTGGACCTGTGATAATGGTCTGAATATTACATTAGATATTCTTAAAATGCTATATGTTTTTGAACATATTATTAGAGGTCAGTGGGATCTTAAGAATAAAAAGTGAATATAAAGGGTATAAAGGGATTGGATTAACTGATGGCTTTCCAACTGCTGGGGACTCCTGGGGGTGTCCTTTCAGATTCTTTGAGAGGATGCCTAAAGGGAAGGTAGGAAAAGAGAGAGACCTCAGTGTTCCTCTTCCATCTGTTGTATGTATATACACTTCCTTATCATTTGTGGAAACGATTCTGAGAATCACCTCCCCAAATCTAAGACTCCCAGAGTATAGAAGACAGTACAACCAAGTCTCATCAATCCCCAAATAAGGGTAGCTGCCAAGGGACACTGAGGCACCTTAGTGGGATCTTGATGTACCTGTTTGGGAGTGCATCAAAAGGAGAAAGGAATGATGAAAGAGAACTAAAGACAAGCTTTGCAATTTTATTCACATGAGAGTTTAGTAGAATTTTTTTTTTTTTTTTTGGAAATAGGATAAGGTTGCTGGCATTTTAACCAGTTCGGGGTGTTCCTATAGTTTCAAAGAAGTTTCTCGCTGACGCTCCTTGATCTTTTTCCATTCTGCCTCCTATCCTCTAAGACTGGCTTTAGTTTACCTGTTGTTCTTCAATAATGGGTTGTAAACACTTTTACTATTGCACATTGTATGTTGATCTATTTTAAGTGTAGGTCTTTTTCATGACTCAGAGCTCCTTAGGGGAAGAGATCTAATATTCTTCTAACTGCCCCTTGAAGTTAGCTTCCTTCAGGTCTTTGGAGGGATTACCATAAAGATCTCAGGACAATTATTCTCAGCAGGGTGGGATCATCAAAGACTTAACTGAGGCATTGGTGAATGTAAATGAGAATACCTAGAGAAACTGAATATCTGACAGTTGCTTTGTAGATCAATAAGTACAGTATACCCCCCAGATAGCAAAGCCAAAATATTGACTCTTAGGCCCAGAGACAACATGGTGTGATTACTGTGTGAACAGCCGAGTCAAAGCATAATCAAATTGTCTGACTCAGAACCTATGGCACTGGCTAGTTGATCATGGTGTACCTTATCAAAAAAAAAAAAAAAATGACTAGCAATCTGCTATATTCTTTTTTAAAAAATAGTTCTTCACATTTTTATTTATATTCTTTGAAAGAGGCCTTCCTAATAATTTTTTAATCCTATAAATTTCTTTATGTTCATCAATTATATTAACTTAAATTTTTAACAAATTTGCTTTTAATTGGGTTATCAACTTTACAGTGAAATTAAATGACAGTATCTACTACATGAACTTATTAAAAAATATTTCCTCAAATTTCCATGTTTTTATAAATCCAAAAGCCTTTTTCCACTGTACATCTTGAATGCAAACAATTGTACATAGCTTTAGGAACCAGTATTTTATTCTAAATTGTGCCTTTTCTCATCTGATAATGATTTCTATAGGTTTTTTGTTGTTGTTCTTTTTAGTTAGAATCCATTTTAACAGGGATGAGGTTGTGGCTCAGAGGTAAAGGGCTCCCCTAGCATGTGTGAGGGTGCTGGGTTTGATCCTCAGCACCACATGAAAATAAAATAAAGATATTGTGTCTACCTATAACTAAAAAAATAAATATTTTTTAAAAGAATCCATTTTGACCTACAAGCATTATAGATCTTATTATATCAGAAATGTACACTTCTATTCAACCTAGAACTCTTCCACTTACACAAATCACATAAAAGTATAGCAGATAACCAAGCTATAGTGCCAAACTAAGTGCTCTAGTAATTGCTGCAGTCTGGCTGGACACAAAATCACGAGCCACTCAAGCAGGAACAAACTTTATTTCCAAAACTCCCGCGAATGCCACGCACGTGGCCTTCTCCCAGGACACACTACACCAACAGGAAATCCCTCCTCCGGAATTCCCTCCTACCACACTTCCCCAACCAATGGGAACTCTCCGGGAGTCCCGAGAGAGCTCCAAAGTAGCAGGCCAAGGCGGACAGCAGGGGTCTAATCTCCAATTGAATGCACATCTTAACATAATCATTATCATCTCAATGGCTTGCTGGTGTCACCTTTCAACCAAAAATGCCATGCGTCATTCCTACTTGGCTATGGCTCTCAGCAAGTAATAATACTAGATCTTATTCTAATTCTGACCCTAGTACCTTTCCTTCCCTTTCCTTTTTCCCACTGCCTTCTTCTTTCCTTCTATTGATCTTTTTGCCATTTACCCATCGTATTTTTTTTTATTAATTTTTTGTGGATGTTCCCAATGGTGAGATTCATGTATTCATATATGTACATAGGAGATTTTTTCCTCTCTCCTCCCTCCCCTTTATTCCTCTTTGTCAAATCCACTGAACTTCTATCCCCTGCCCTTATGGTTTGTTAGCTTTCACATATCAAAGAAAACATTCCACCTTTGGTTTTTCTGGGGATTGGCTTATTTCATTTGACATGATAATCTCCAGTTCCATCTATTTATCAGAAAAATGTTGTAAAGTCATTCTTTATGGCTGAGTAATACTCCATTGTGTGTGTGTGGGATTGTGGGTGTGTGTATCTCTTTATCCATTCATCTATTAAAGGGCACCTAGTTTGGCACCATAGCTGGGTTACCTGCTATATTCTTATGTGATTTGTGTAAGTGGAAGAGTTCTAGGTCAAATAAAAGTGTAACTTAAATCACTAAGACATTTATGGCCTCTAAATTATTTCCCATTTTAAGCCAGTTTATAGACCCGGAACTCCTCCAATATGAGGCTGGGTCCCTTTGAGAGAGAACCCTGCAGTACCACCAAAAATCGATAGTTTAACTTTTTCCCAATCTTTCCACATGGGACCTATGGCTATTCACTAGGGTGAATATACACTGAGGAAAGGGAAGTAATCAGATATTTTGGAAATTGCTGGACACTGTCTCTGAATTAACACTAATTCCAGGAGGCCTGATGCTTCACTGGTCCACCAAAATAGGAAATTGTGGAGGTCAGGTAACCAATGGGATTTCAGCTCAGATACATCTCACATGAGTTTTTCAAATGCATTTCCCAGGTCTGGAATTCATAATTAGACTAGACATACTTGGACACTGGCAGAATCCCTACCCAAGTTCCCTGACCTGTGGAGTGAGGACTGTTAAGGCAGGAAATACCAAGTGAAAGTTGCTAGAACTGCCTCTACGTAGGAGAACTGCCTCAGGCTACCAATAGGGGCTGTAATATGAACATTACAATAAAGGGACAGAGAAGGCTTGTGGGGGCTCCAATTGGGAGAAATATCTAAGTCAGAGATGATGGCTGCTAAAGATACTGGAGTGAGGAAATAGGGTGAAGTGGAGGGACACAGAAAACACCTAATAACCATACCTCAGAATTTCTTTGATCTTGGAAATAGGTCATTCAGATTAAATTAGTTAAATTAACATGAAGCTGTCCTGGAGTAGAAGAGTATGTTATTTTAAAGTGGAAGAAATCGGGACACAAAGTGGCATACCCAGGGAGAACATGATACAGTGATTAGAATTATACTGCCACAAGGCCAGGTATACAAAAGTCAGCAAAGGACCTGAAGCTAGGAGACAGACCTGGAATAGATCCTTCCCCAGCACCTTCAGAGGGAGCATGGCCCCACTGACAGCTGGATCTCAGAGCCTTCAGATATGTGAGATGATAAATTCTTGTTAAAGTAAACCAAAAGCAATACCATATTTCTGAAGGGACTGCAAAGATTAGTGCTAACATTAGGACCTTAAGGGATGTATTGTTATGAATTCCCACCACTTCCTCGCTCAAGCCATCTCTCTGGCCTGTATAAAAAACAGGCTGATCTTGAGAACAGTGGATTGTCATAAACTTAATCAAGTGGTGACTAGTTGCTGATGCTGTTTCCAGATGTGCTACCTGGTATGCCACAGTTGTTCTAGTAAATGATTTTCCTCCATGCCTGTTAGTACAAACCACCAGAGGCAAGTGTTTTTGGACTGGCAAGGCCAGCAATGCACCTTCACTCTGCAGGACATCTACTTTCCAATCCTATGTTGCAGTTTAGTCTGTGTTGTGATCACCTTTCCCTTCTACAAGACATCACATTGGTCCATGTCATTGTATTGAGTATTAAGCTGATTGAACCTGATGAGAAGAAGTAATAACTACTCTACATGTATTGATAAGACATTTGTGTACTATAGGGTGAGAAATCTGATAAAAATTTTGGGATCTTCCACCTCAGTGGAATTTATAGGGATCTAGTATATGGAGAATGCTCAACTGTCCCTTTTTTGGGGGAGGAGGGGTGCCAGG